AGGGAGCAGTGTCCGCACTCACATCCTGCTTCACCAGGGAGCAGTGTCCGCACTCACATCCTGCTTCGCCAGGGAGCAGTGTCCGCACTCACATCCTGCTTCGCCAGGGAGCAGTGTCCGCACTCACATCCTGCTTCGCCAGGGAGCAGTGTCCGCACTCACATCCTGCTTCGCCAGGGAGCAGTGTCCGCACTCACATCCTGCTTCGCCAGGGAGCAGTGTCCGCACTCAAATCCTGCTCCGCCAGGGAGCAGTGGCCGCACTCAAATCCTCAAGGAACCACCGCCAACAAGAGAGCTTGTCAGTGCAGTAGTTTATTCATAAGAAGTTCAACAAAACAGGTTAAAAACAAAACATACAGATGCCACTGAGCTCGAAAGCACATCTTCAGGGGTTTACGCCTGTAGATGCACTATTGCACGAAACGGCTTCGGGTTGAGCTGTATTGCTGGAGGACGTGTCACTGCTCCATGTTGGTCTGGCAGCCCCTTATGTAAGTTTTACTCAGCGGCATCTGTATGTTTTGTTTTTTACTTGTTTTGCTGCACTCCTTATTAACCTACTGCACTGTTAGAAGTTCTCTTGGTGGTGGTTCATTGAGGAAGTGAGTGCGGACACTGACCCCTGGTGGGAGCAGTGGAGTCCAGCGGGGAGAGAGAGAGCGATACTATGTAACAAGCACAGATTTCTGTTCTGGTCCTGGACCGCAAAACCTTGTGGTGAGTTTGCCATCTTCCCAGTGGTGGAGGCAACACAAGACTGGTGTTTGTGGATCACATGGTGGACTTGTTATTTACAGAACACTGGGACTGTTCACTTGGTTAATTTGTTGTCCTACAGGAGGTGCTCACACTGGACACAGCATCTCGGTGAACAAGCTTCACATGTATATATTATACTTTCATGGATTTATTATGCACTAATTTATAGGTGGATACACTATTTATAGAAGTGTTGACTGTACAAACAAAAACGCAATGAGACAAAACGAGGCAGTCATTTTCTGTTGCAGTGTAAAGAAATAGTGCAACCTATTTACTAAAGACCAGTAACATCACTGAGAATTTAGCCTCATTTTTAACTAGACACCAATGATCTCACTAAAATGCAGCCTATCCATGGATTAGAGACAGGTGGCATGGCTGAGAATGCAGCCTTATCTATCCACTATAGATGGGTGACTTCACTGCAAATGCAGCCTATCCTCTTACTAAAGACCAGTAACATCTCTGAAAAGACAGCCTGTTCATTTGCTAGAAATCTGTGACATTACTGAAATTGTTGCCTTTTTGTTTACTAGAGACCAGTGACATCAGAAAATGCAGCCTATCCATTCACTAGACAACAATTATGACACACCGAGAAAGAAACCTATCCATTCACTAGACTAGTGACATTGCAGAGAATGCTGCCTATCCATTCACTAGAAGTCGATGACATCAATAACTATAAAGCCTATCCATTTGTTAGGGACTGGAGACATCACTGAAAATGCAGCCTATTCATTGGCTAGAGACTGTTGATATCACTGAGAATGTAACCTATCCATCCAAAAGAGACCAGTGACATCACTGAGATTGCAAGCTTTCCATTTACTAGACACTGGTGATCGCTGAAATTACAGCCTTCCTATTTGTGCATATTGGAATTTGATGCTTCTAGTTATAATAAATTGAGTGCAAATGGGTAAACAGTGCTTTTTGGCACCAATGCTAAAAAAAAACCCACATTTATAAATAAAAACTTAATTAACTTTTGTTTTATACAAAGAATATAATTGTTTAAAGAACATGACTGATCAAACTGGAGTTATTCACTCTCCGATACAGTATTTCAATATCTCAATATTTGACTATCCATAAAATGACAAACATGAATTCCTGTAGATTACATATATACTTTGTTGTAAATGTGGTAATCAACAGATGAAGAAGATGAAAATTTTTTCCCTTGCTCCACACAGTTTGAATAACTCTTCCCTAGGGGCAGAGATGGAATTTCAAGATGTCAAAAATGAGTAGTATACTTATCAGTTATGTGCAAGCTATTATCAATCTAGCCCTTGGATTCAATGGGCACTCAGGCTGAGGTGCAGGGAGATGGGAGGCGCCTGAAAATACCCTGCAACAAATAATCAGCCTTAACACAGCTTTGCACTGATGCGCTACAAGGAACATACCGTAGATCACACTGGGGGAGAAAGCTGCTTTTTAGCACTGAATTGTCTCCTCACTTCCTGTTTTCACCCTGTAATTAACCATGCTGTCTTGCAGCATGGCCTCACTCACTTGAAAGGGTCACACTCGGTGGGCAGCACCCACTTCCCTACTCCTCTTTTCTGACTGTTTTTCACTAGTTTTGCATTTGGCTAGGGTCATTGTCACTACTGGTAGCATGAGGCGATACCTGGACCCTACAGAGGTTGCACAGGTAGTCCAACTCCTCCAGGATGGCACATCAATACATGCCATTGCCAGAAGATATGCTGTCTCCCAGCACAGTCTCAAGAGGATGGAGGAGATTACAGGAGACAGGCAGTTACTCTAGGAGAGCAGAACAGGGCCGTAGAAGGTCCTTTAACCTTCAGGAATGGTATCTGCTCCTTTGTGCAAGGAGGAACAGGATGAGCACTGCCAGAGCCCTACAAAATGACCTCCAGCAGACCACTGGTGTGAATGTCTCTGACCAAACAATCAGAAACAGACTTCTTGAGGGTGGCCTGAGGGCCCGACGTCCTCTAATTGGTCCCGTGCTCACTGTCCCGCACCATAGAGCTTGATTGGCATTTGCCATTGAACACCAGAATTGGCATGTCCTCCACTGGCATCCTGTGCTTTTCACAGAGGAGAGCAGGTTTACCCTGAGCACATGTGACAGACATGAGAGTCTGGATAAGCCGTGGAGAACATTATGCTGCTTGTAACCTTGTTCAGCATGACCGTTTGGTAGTGGGTCAGTGATGGTCTGGACAGGCATATCTATGGAGGGACGCACAGACCTCTACAGGTTAGACCAGGGGTGGGCAAACTTTTTGACTGAGGGCCGCAATGGGTTCATATATTGGACCCGGGGGCCGGACCAAGAGTAGATGAATGATGTGTATGTGTCATCCATAGTAAGTATAGTAATATTCCCCCATAGTAAGCATAGTAATTCATCCCCCATATAGTAATTCATCCCCATATTAATTCATCCCTCATATAGTATTTCATCCCCCACAGTACTATTCCCCCCCAAGTAGTAAGCCAAGTCCCCCCTGTGTTAATTCACTTACCTTTGCTCCGCGCGTTCCTCTCGCTGTGTTCCCGCGCCGTTCCGGTCTTCAGGGCGGACTGTGAGAGGAGCCTAGCTCCCCTCACGTTCGTCACGCTGCCCTGCCTACACACATCCTGACAGCCAATGTATCACGCTCCGCGGGCCGGATTAAAAGGTCCGCCGGGTCGTATACGGCCCGCAGGCCGTAGTTTGCCCATTGCTGGGTTAGACAATAACACCCTGACTGCCATTAGGTATCGGGATGAAATCCTTGGACCCATTGTCAGACCCTACGCTGATACAGTGGGTCCTGGGTTCCTCCTGGTGCTTGACAATGTCCGGCCTCATGTGGTGAGAGTATGCAGGCAGTTCCTGGAGGATGAAGGAATTGATACCATTGAATGGCCCCCACACTTGCCTGACCTAAATCCAATAGAATACCTCTGGGATATCATGTTTCGGTTCTTCTGCCGCCACCAGGTTGCACCTCAGACTGTCCAGGAGCTCATTGATGCCCTGGTCCAGATCTGGGAAGAAATACCCCAGGACACCATCAGTCTTCTCATTAGAAGCATGCTCCGACATCAGGCATGTATACAAGCACATGAAGGCCATACAAACTACCATTTTGAGTCGCTGCAATGAAATTTCTGCAAAATGGACTAGCTTAGGTTGTCTTTGAATTCTCAACCTACAGAGGACTGAATTCAAACGATGGGGCATCCTTACGTTCCTAACACATTACCCAGTCCATATCAGTATAGATATCCAGCATAATACCTTTCCCTATTGAGATCTGATGTGTTTTCAAAGTGTTCCTTTAATTTTTTTGAGCAGTGTATTTTTGAATTGGTGGCCTTAAAGTGCTGTTTACCAATTTGTTCTCTATATATTGGGATGTTGGCATCTGATTTGGACTCAGGTCACACTTTATATCTTGTGTAAGGCGCCTAACTGTGAATCTGATGTTGCCTCTGTGATGCGTACCCCCCCCCCCCCCCACCCCCCCCCCCCCCCCCCCCCCCCCCCCCCCCCCCCCCCCCCCCCCCCCCCCCACCCCCCCCCCCCCCCCCCCAGACAAAAATTAAATTTGATTTTTCCCCCCCCCCCCCCAAAAAAAAAAAAAAAATAATTTAGATATGTAGGATTAGTGTCTATATTGAAATAGGGAAATTGCATAAAAATGAAATAGCTGAAAACCGCATTTAAACACAGATTTCCTGTTTTAAGTGCTCAGGGATTTGTAATTGTGTGCAACCCCAGTGTAAAACACATCTGCTCTCTATGTTCTTTCTATTTTGTGATTTGGCATTTCCTTTCCCTGGATCATCACCCTGCTCATTGAACAGTGGTGGAGATACAAATTGTGTGCCATCTCTGTGCCTCCAGCATGCTAACTTGACAATGTTATATTGCTTACCCAAAAAAAAAAGTGTCCTGTACCTGGTGGTTATGGCCAAGGTATGTAAAGCACAGGTTTTGGTTGAATACCATTACAAGTTTTTCAGCATTTATAATAGTAACCATACATGTATTTCAACTGTGTGTATACACCTGCAGTCCAAGTCCAGCTTTAACTTGGACTTTAGCACTTGATGTTCCATCTGTTTTTCCTGTCCATTCACAGCAGACTCATGGGCTGGTTTCTGTTCTGCTTGTTGACTGCATGCCTTTATGAAACGGACTTTTGCTTTTATGTTTAATGTGTTGATTTTTTTTATGTTTTAATATTTACAAGCCCTGCTTCTGAACCTTGCTTGCTAAAAACAATCATCTTTACTTTTCTTTTACTCATTCTTAATTCCCAGCTGCCAGTTTCTCAGCCTTTACAAGCTGTCCAAGGAGAGCCCGTGGTTCCTGCTCCAACAGTATCAACCCCACAGTCGCATGTTGTCCCGAGCTTGGCTGCCCCCATACCACCCCAGTATTTACCCCTGACTCAACCTTTAGTGGCCGTCCCTCTGATCCCTCAGTTTGCTACTCCCAAGTTACCAATGGCTGTGCCTTCCACCATTGTACACACAGGCTTTCCTGCCCTGCCTGTGCCTATGTCCCCAGGGTTTGGCCAGGCAGTGCCATGCTTGCCCCCCTCTTTAGGGACACCAGTGCTTCTTCCTGGGCAGGCAGTTATTGTTCCAAGCCACATATCTGCTGTTGCTCTCCAGCCCTTAACACAGGTCCCACCTCTGCCTGTGCATCCTGTGCCTGCACCTGTTGGATTGCCAGCTGCCCTAGGACAAGCTGTTGAGCCTCTGCTTCCTCCTGGAGACGCTGCATACCAGGTACTGCCCCCTCTGGGCCTTGCTGGAAACTTAGGGTGTTGGCTCACCAGCTGTTTAAAGGGCTCGGGAATTTCTCTAGTGTAGCTGATAGATCATTCATTTTAGTGTTTTAAAAATATGAAGTGGTCTAGTTTTAGGTTGAATGATTTTTTGTGAGTATGTCTTATCAGATTCTGTATGTGTGTGTAAATACGAAACCTTTTACTCATTGCTGTTTTATTATTTCTTATTCAGGCCTTCCAATCTTCTCTAACCTCTCAGATGCCTGTGGAGACAGGCCTTCCTTCTGCATCTGTCCACCCTTCATCATTAATGTCACCTACGATCCGCACAGACTGCCTGCCACATACTGGGTACAGTACTGGGTTACTTCAACCGTATCTGGAGGGCAGTGGAGGACCTCCACAGGGCATCCCAGCTTTGCAACCAACAGCACCTTTCCCTGGGAGCCAGGCACAGCAAGTTACAGAGGTAGGCTGCCAAAGTAAATTTCAACATTTTCCCCTACATGGCTGTCAACTTCTTTACAACACATTAAACAATTTTATGCAGTTACATTGCTTGCAAGGCAAAATAGACTGTTGCTTCCAAGGTCCATCTGAACTGTTAGTATATGTGTTTTTTTTTGTTTTTTTTTAATAACTTGCCATCCTGAGGATTTAACGCCCCCAACTCCTTGACCAGGCCTCTTTTTGCTATTCGGCGCTGCACTATTTAAACTGACAATTGCAATGTGCGGCCTTTTTTCACACAAATAGAGCTTTCTTTTGGTGGTATTTGATCACCTGTGTGCTTTTTATTTACACGCTATAAACAAAAAAAGACCGAACATTTTGAAGAAAAACGCTATTTTTTTTTTTTTTTTACTTTCGGCTCTAAAAAAAATATATAGTAAACTCAACTTAGTCATAAATTTAGGCCAAAATATATTCTTCTACATGTTTTTGGCAAAAAAAAATCCCAATAATTGTATATTGATTGCTTTGTGTGAAAGTTATAGCGTCTACAAACTATGGTATAGATACTGCAATTTGCGCCATTTTTTGCTATACAGCGCTGCACTAGTTTAACTGACAGTCATGCAATACGGTACATAAATGAAATTTTACGTCCTTTTTTTCACACAAATAGAGCTTTCTTTCAATGGTATTTGATCACCTGTGCATTTTTATTTTTTGGCGTGATAATCATAAAAAAGACCGAACATTTTGGAGAAAAAAAAGATATTTCTGTCATCAAAAATATCAAAAAAACTCAAATTTCGTCATAAATTTAGGCCAAAATGTATTCTGCTACATATTTTTGGTTAAAAATCCCAATAAGTGTATACTGATTGCTTTGTGTGAAAGTTCTAGCATCTACCAACTATGGTATAGATAATGGAATTTACACAGCTTTTACTTTGACCGCCTATCACATTCTTGAGGTGCTAAAATACCAGGACAGTATAAAACACCCCCAAATGACCCCTTTTTGGAAAATAGACACACCCTAAGCTATCTGCTGAGAGGCATATTGAGTCCATGGAAGATTTATTTTTTTCCACAAGTTTTTGGAAAATGACAAAAACTTTTTTTTTTTTTACACACAAAGTTGTCATTTAAATTATATATTTCTCACACAAGCGGGTATATGTGGAATTATACCCCAAAATACATTCTGCTACTTCTACTGAGTATGGGGATACCATATGTGTGAGACTTTTTGGGAGCCTAGCCACATACAGGAGTCTGAAATTCAATGACCATTTTGAAAGCCTGAAGGTGCGTAACTTCCCCATTTCACTTCCTCACTACCTATCACAGTTTCGGAGGCCCTGAGATGCCAGGATAGCAACCCCCCCCCCCCCCCCCCCCCCCAAATGACCCCTTTTTGGAAAGTAGACACCCCAAGGAATTTAAAAAGAGGCATGGTGAGTATTTTGCAGATCTAATTTTTTTCTCACAAGGTTTTGAAATATAAAAAAAGAAAAAAAAAATGCTTGTTTTCTTCATTTTCCAAAAACTTGTGGCAAGAAACAAGATCTGCAAAATACTCACCATTCTTCTTATCAAATTCCTTGGGGTGTCTACTTTCCAAAAAGGGGTCATTTGGGGGAGTTTGGTTCTATCCTGGCATTTCAGGGCCTCCGAAACTGTAATAGGTAGTCAGGAACAGGGGCGGTCTGACCATTTGGGAACTCGGGCACTGCCCGAGGGCCCGAGGTCAGAAGGGGGCCCCATGAGATGCCCCTAGTACCTTTCATAGGCTTTTTTTGGGTGTGGTTTGAGTGTGGGCAAGGACACGGGCCCCATGATCCCCTATTGCCCGGGGGCCCCATGAGTTGTCAGTCTGCCCTTTTGTCAGGAAGTGTAATGAGGAAATAAAGCCCTTTAAAAGCCTGAAGGTGCTTATTGGATTTTGAGGTCCTGTACTTGGCTAGACTGCCAAAAAGTCTCTCACATGTGGTACCCCCATACTTGGAAGAAGTACCAGAAATGTATTTTGGGGAGTAATTCCACATATACCCATGGCATGTGTGAGCAATAAATCAATTGACAATTTTGTATTTTAAAAAAAAAATGTTTATTTTCGTCGGACCTGGATCTCCTGGAATATCTACAGACAGTCCTCCGCTCTTCACAATCTCTTGGCTTCTTGAACAGGAGTTCTCCTTTTCCTTCCCCTCTGGTCACTGCTGGTTTGTTGTCCCTCTGGGTGCCTTCCCTCAGGCGAGTCTAATCTTATTCTCTCACTCCTTCTCTCCCCCCCCACCCTCCTCTTTTTTTCTTTCTCTTTCTTTCTACCTTTTTCTTCTCCTTTCCTAGGCGGTTGATGGGGAGGAGGGGATGTTGACTGCTGATGGTAGGCTCCATAGCTTTTCGCTGTCCGAGGAGGCTTTTACACCACAGGTCTATATAAAGCTGAATATCATCAATTACAGAACCCAGGGTTACAGTGGGGATCGAAAGTTTGGGCACCCCAGCTAAAAATTTGTATTAATGTGCATAAAGAAGCCAAGGAAAGATGGAAAAATCTCCAAAAGGCATCAAATTACAGATTAGATATTCTTATAATATGTCAACAAAAGTTAGATTTTATTTCCATCATTTACACTTTCAAAATAACAGAAAACAGAAAAATGGTGTCTGCAAAAGTTTGGGCACCCTGCAGAATTTATAGCATGCACTGCCCCCTTTGCAAAGCTGAGACCTGCCAGTGTCATGGATTGTTCTCAGTTGTTCTCAAGAAGGCTATAAGAAGATAGCAAAGCGTTTTCAGATGTCAATATCCTCTGTTTGGAATGTAATTAAGAAATGGCAGTCATCAGGAACAGTGGAAGTTAAAGCAAGATCTGGAAGACCAAGAAAAATATCAGACAGAACAGCTCGCAGGATTGTGAGAAAAACAATTCAAAACCCACGTTTGACTGCACGATCCCTCCAGAAAGATCTGGCAGACACTGGAGTTGTGGTACACTATTCCACTATAAAGAGATACTTGTACAAATATGGTCTTCATGGAAGAGTCATCAGAAAAAAACCTCTTCTACGTCCTCACCACAAAAATCATCGTTTGAACTTTGCAAATGAACATATAGACAAGCCTGATGCATTTTGGAAACAAGTTCTGTGGACCGATGAGGTTAAAATTGTACTTTTTGGCCGGAATGAGCACAGGTACGTTTGGAGAAGAAGGGGCACAGAATTTAATGAAAAGAACCTCTGTCCAACTGTTAAGCATGGGGTTGGATCAATCATGCTTTGGGGTTGTGTTGCAGCCAGTGGCACAGGGAACATCTCACGAATAGAAGGAAAAATGGATTCAATAAAATTTCAGCAAATTTTGGATGGTAACTTGATTCCATCTGTGAAAAAGCTGAAGTTAAAGAGAGGATGGCTTCTACAAATGGATAATGATCCTAAACACACCTCGAAATCCACGGGGGATTACATCAAGAGGCGTAAACTGAAGGTTTTGCCATGGCCTTCACAATCTCCTGACCTCAACATAATTGAAAATCTATGGATAGACCTTAAAAGAGCAATGCATGACAGACAGCCCAGAAATCTCAAAGAACTGGAAGACTTTTGTAAGGAAGAATGGGCAAATATACCTCAAACAAGAATTGAAAGACTCTTGGCTGGCTACAAAAAGCGTTTACAAGCTGTGATACTTGCCAAAGGGGGCAGTACAAGATATTAACTCTGCAGGGTGCCCAAACTTTTGCAGACGCCATTTTTTTTGTTTTCTGTTATTTTGAAAGTGTAAATGATGGAAATAAAATCTAACTTTTGTTGACATATTATAAGAATGTCTAATCTGTAATTTGATGCCTTTTGGAGATTTTTTTCCATCTTTCCTTGGCTTCTTTATGCACATTAATACAAATTTTTAGCTGGGGTGCCCAAACTTTTGATCCCCACTGTAAGTGCAAGTAGCCTGTCTGTACAAACAAAGCCAGGCCCCTAAGGGGTACAGATAATAGCGATGCCTTAAAAAAATTGACAGGGGAAACCCAGCCATTTTGCAAGAATTTTCTGGATTTCAAAAACAGAAATGATCTCCACTCTAATGTCCCTTCAAACAGCTATCAGAAACATGAAGCAGGAGAACTGCCCTCTACTTTGTCTTAGAAATCCAAAAAAACACAGAAAACCACCATGGCCCTGGCAATCCAAACCTATATGGTCTCAGAATCAGAAGAGGGAGAGCAATATTTCCCTGATAGCTCGGTATCGGACAAGTCAGAAATTGGGGAAAAGCAAAGTGTCTAAGCCAGTGTTTCTCAACCTCCTTACCTTGGAGGAACCCTTGGCATAAAGGTTGATCTCAGGGAACCCCTGAAAAAAATTTTCAGATCTACAGCTCACAGAACATTGGATCTGATCAGAGAGCTGTAGATATACTGTAACAACAATTACCAAACAAATGTAGAGAAGTGCAGGGAAGCTGTTATTGTAACATGCCTTTTCTCCTTGTTCCCCACTAGCCTCTCGTCCATCCCAGATAATATTACATTTAACAGCCTGAGACAGAGAAAAGAGGAGGACCTGTGGGGAACAGTGCAGTAAATAACAGTATGCTTCCCTGCACATCTCTTTAATTCTATAATACAGGGTTTTTCACATGGGGTTCCACCGCAAATCCATATTGTGGCAGATGTATATCCACTCAATGTTGTTTTTAGTACGCACTGACAGTGCGCATTGATACCTGATGCCTCCTCTAGTTGTGGTTCCTGTGAACTCAGAGGGTGGCATCGAGTGGAGTGCAGAGAGTGGGAACACATGGCTTGATCAGGAGGTGACATGCTGTGTATGGCAGCGGTGAATGCAGACTGTGGAGGGGGGAAGCAGAGAGTTGGGAGCACATGGAGTAATGTAGCAGGGGGTGACATCCTGTGTATATCAGTGCTGAATGAAGACTGCAGGGGCACTGGGCTTGATGAGACTGAATGTAGCAGGAAGTCAGATCATAATAGCTCTATG